ATGTACCAGTGTCAGTTGATTAGAGCTAATATACATTTTGAAGAATGGAGAAATAGATGTGACAAAGATCTAGCACTTTGCACTTCCAATGCACATCTGTTGCCTTTGCAGTTTTATCGAGTTGAATTTTGATTATTGGTTCTTTGGTGGATCTTGTTCTCAACTTCAAGTTTTTTATGTTCTTATATTAAGGTATGGGCTGCCAAATACGGTTGTAGGAGGTGGAGGTGGAGCTGGAGATGGCAGCGGCGGGGGAGGCGGCACTGTTAATGGTGGTGTTGGTGAAGGAGGCGGTGGCGGTGGCGGTGGCGATGACGGCGGGGGTGGCGGCGGGACTGTTAATGGTGGTGGAGAAAGTGTCACTGATGCAGCTGTTGACCCCGGCAGTGCTCAAAAACTCACCACCAATGATGCTTTAACTTATTTGAAGAACGTTAAGGATAGGTTCCAGGATCAAAGGGAAAAATATGATAAATTTCTCGATGTCATGAAAGATTTCAAGGCTCAAAGGTAAAACAAATCTTTATTTTGTCCGATCATCTTGTATACGATTGAGCAACCAATAGGAACATCTTTTCATAACTCTTCATTAACCTGTTTCTGGCAGAATCGATACCGCTGGTGTCATAGCTAGGGTGAAAGACTTGTTTAAAGGGCATCCTAATCTAATACTTGGGTTTAACACATTCTTGCCTAAGGGATATGAAATTACCCTCACCGATGAAGAAGAGGCTCCACCAAAAAGAACCGTTGAGTTCGAAGAGGCTATCAGTTTTGTCAATAAGATAAAGGTAAAATTCTTAGTACTCGTATAGTCGTTTGAACATAACATAATCTCCTTCTCCTTTGTTTTCATCTGCAGAAGCGTTTTCAAAGCGATGATCACGTTTATAAATCTTTCCTGGACATTTTGAATATGTACCGGAAGGAACATAAGGGTATAACGGAGGTCTACCAAGAGGTTTGCATGTCCCTTTTTTCACACGAATAAGACAATACGAAATGGCTGTATAATTCAGTCGTCATTATTAATATTGGATATTTTGTATCAATTTCAGGTTGCAGCACTTTTTGGTGACCATCCAGACCTTCTTGAAGAGTTCACAAGATTTCTGCCCGATACATCAGCCACAGCCTCAGCTTCTCATGCTTCTTTAGGCCGCCACCGTTATGAGGAGAGGAGCTCAGCTAACCCCACCATGCGGCAGCCTAACATAGATAAGGTTCTTTTTCTATACATTTTATTCTTTCTTTATTATCGAGATTTATGGTTTGTTGTGCTCTTTCTAACTGAAAAAAATAAATCGTATTTTGCACATTTCTTTTTTTAGCAACGGTCAAGGAGTGACAAGATCATTGATCCCCATGGGGAACGAGATCTTAGTGTTGAGCGTCCTGAAATGGACGATGATAAAACAGCTGTAAAGTTGAACAAGGAGCAGAAGAAGAATACTGAGAAGGAAAATAAAGATAAGAGAAACCTTGACCAGGATGAAAGAGATCCTGCCGCTGAAAACGGGGACACTAGCACACATCGGCTTTTGGAGAAAAAGAAACCTGCTCGAAAAGTTGAAGACTTTGGGGGGAGCTCGAATTTTGTCAACTATGATTTCAAAGATTCAACAAAAAGTGAGTTAGGATAGTCCATGTCTTTAACATTTCTTGTGAATAATCACCTTGTTGCATCATAAATCCTTATTTATTTATTTATGATTAGAGATTTGTGCGGTGTAGTTATAATAATTGGGGAGCATTTAAATGAGAATCTGAAAGACAGTGGGGTGGGCGGGAATTTAACTGGGAAGCAAAGATCCTTTATCTTTTTTAGTATTTATGTCAATTAAACTATTTCTATACCTCGATTGTTATGTTTGACTTGATAATGAGGCTTATAATGTTTAATTATGTTTTATCTTGGCAGGTATGTACAGTCAGGAATTTAGTTTCTGCGAGAAAGTCAAAGAGAGGCTGAGCAGTGCAGATGATTACCAGGCATTCTTAAAATGCCTTCACATTTACAGTACAGAAATCATTACAAGAACGGAATTGCAGAGTTTGGTATGGACATTGTGCCATCCTTTTAGCCCTAAACATCCTATGTAGATCTTTCTGGGTCTGAAAATATAGATAGAGCTAAGATGTTCTAGTTCTGTCATATTTCAGAAAATAGAATCACTTGTGCCTCCTTCAGTTCCATATCCCGTTCTTATATATGCTTCGAGTTGCTTCATCAGTCTACTGTTTTATTCAGCATTTTTCATCCCCAAGTTAGGTCTTTCTTAAAGTACTATTTTGTTGTTTGCCTTTTCTCAAATTAGAGGCATTATAATTGATTCATGATGAGTTCATTACTTCGACCCATACAATTTGGTGAAATTAGCTCCTCGTATCTGGTTCTTATGCAAATGCTTTCAGGTTGCTGATTTAATTGGAAAATATCCCGATCTTATGGAAGGGTTCCATCAATTTTTAGAGCGCTGTGAGCTAAAGGGTAGGCACATTTTTTTTTTGCTTGGTAAAGTTGTATCGTTTGATTTAATTAATTCAACTTCTAACTAATTTCTTATTTTGCAGATGGATTTCTATCTGGTGTTATGGGCAAAAGTATGTATTATCTCAGTGTTCGCTGCATGAATAAAATAATTTCTCTTTGGTGCTTCTGTTAATTACGAATCTATTTCTTTAATTTCAGAAACCTTATTGGATGAAGGTAATTCTTCAAAAGCTCCACGGGTAGAGGAAAAGGACAAAGAACAAAAGCGTGAAGTGGAAGTAGGAAAAGAGAAGGATAAATACAATTTGAAGTATTGGGGGAAGTCCATTCAAGAGCTTGACCTCTCTAATTGCGATCGCTGCTCTCCTAGTTATCGTCGTCTTCCCGAAGATGTACGAGTTTCTGGTGCATGGTTTGAAATTCACGGTTAAGCTTTTTATCGGAACATTCTAAAATTTTTCTTTGTCGCAATTTTGACTTTTGCAGTATCCAATACCTTTAGCCAGCCAGAGATCAGAGCTTGGTTCCCATGTTCTAAACGATCATTGGGTATCTGTGACATCTGGCAGTGAGGATTACTCGTTTAAACACATGCGGAGAAACCAATATGAAGAAAGCCTGTTTAGATGTGAAGATGATAGGTATAGTATGACCCTTCCACTTTCTGTCTATCTTATTCGTAACTATGAGACTAACTAATTTTGTTTTATACTCATATTTCATAATTTTATAATTCTGTCATGTGGTTTTGATTATATTTCAGGTTTGAGCTAGATATGTTGTTGGAGTCTGTCACTGCAACTGCCAAAAAAGTAGAGGAGTTCTTGAATGGTATTAATAATAATACAATTGGTTCTGACAGTCCCATACGGGTTGAAGACCATCTCTCAGGTTCGTCACTGTAGAATTATGGATAAACGCTCTCCTCTTATCGTTTCTTTTATGCATATTTAATGATTGATTGGATCCATTGCTTTTTTTATTTTATTTTAAATTTATCCCTTGCAGCTCTGAATTTGAGAAGCATTGAACGCCTGTATAGTGATCATGGTCTTGATGCAATGGATGTTTTGCGTAAGAATCCATCTGTTGCATTGCCAGTTATCCTCACCCGCCTTAAGCAGAAGCAGGAGGAATGGAGTAGGTGTCGTTCGGATTTCAACAAAATTTGGGCTGAAATATATTCTAAGAACCATTACAAGTCTCTTGACCACCGGAGCTTCTATTTCAAGCAACAAGATTCCAAGAACTTGAGCACAAAATGTAAGTTCACCATGCTGTGTACAATCCCGGTGGTCTTTGTTGTTCCAATTCTGACATACGCTTGGCCTTCTTAGGATTTTGCAAATCTTGAAGGTTTTTCATTTGTAGTAATAGCAGCTTATAGTTAGTTTGTCTAATATGATAGTTCATAGATGAGAGACTCGATTTTGGCATTCAAGCATAATACTCATTTTCATGTCTCATTACAACTGCTCATATGTTGCCTTTTTTTTTTTTTTTCTATTGCTACTTTCTTTTTCTTATTGCCGCATTTGCAATGTGTCTCATTCAAATTAGATTTCTATTTTCATCTAGGTCATAATATTCATCCATGAATCACCATTGTAAATAATTTTGAGGTTCCACGATTGCTTTCCATCTGTATTGTGGTTCTCAAGTTTATTTTTCATGCTTGCGATTGCAGCTTTAGTGACCGAGATCAAAGAAATCAAGGAGAAAAGACAAAAAGACGACGACGTGCTTCATATTGCCGCTGGAAGTAGGCACTCAATCGTTCCAGACCTTGAATTTGAATATTCCGATACCGAAATTCATGAAGATGTTTTCAAGATTATCAAATACTCGTGCGAAGAGGTGTGCTCAACAAAAGAACAATTGAATAAAGTTATAAGGTTATGGACCAAATTTCTCGAGCCAATGCTCAGTGTTCACTCCAGGCCACATGATTTTGTCGGTACTGAAGATAACAGTGTCTCTAAGCATCAAATTGCGAAAAACAGCACAATTGAAAGTGAAGATAGTCCGAATACTGATGCTATCCCCTCGAGCTTGAAGCAACCAAAGTCTAACTGCAACAGTGATTTTACTACATCACCTCAACAAGCTAAAGAATGGCTTTCCGTGTCTGTCGGTGAAAGATTAACTAACTCTAACGCAGCTGTTGCTTCTGGACCAGATGTTAATCATGGTATGCATTTACGATAAACAATAAAAGCTTTACTAATAATTTTAAGGTGGCATAATATGTATGCAACTGCCTTTTGTTTTGAATTTGTTAAGGTTGATGTTTTCTCTAAGTACGATGTATTCTTATAATTATTTGAATTCTTTTGAAATTAAAGTTCAAGGTGCAACCTCCTCGCGCGTGATTAATGGTCACATCGAGGAAAGCAATGGATCCAAACCTATTGCAGTGGAGATTCTCCCTTCTAAGGTACAAATTCATGATTTTGGCTTAACTGATAAAATTGAATTTTTGAATGGACAAACCATATTGACGTATATGAAAGATTTTGTTCCATCTTCTACCAATTGTTCTGGTTGCCGCTTTCTCTTCATTTTCTTTTGGTATAATTATCTTGTATGCAATAGGTTTCCGATACACTGAGATTGAATCAATCGACAAATGGAGAGTTTGCAGAAGGCCTTAGTAAAAACGAGAAAGAAGAGGGTGAACTTTCCCCTATTTGCGACACCGAAGATAATTTTGGTGCCTATGAGGATGACAATTCACAAGTCTTGCCTAAGAAAAATGGCATGCCATGTGAAATGACCAATCATGAAGAGAATCATGCAAATGCTGCTGCGTGTGAAAATGCCGATGACGGGGACAGTGAGAATCTTTCCGAGGCGGCAGATGCTTCGGGCAGTGAGTCAGCTCCAGATGAGTGTTCGAGGGAAGAGCAGGCAGAGGAGGAAGAAGATGGTAAAGCTGAGAGTGAAGGTGACGCTGAGAATACAATTGAAGCTCGCTATACTGGGATAGATGGCACATCTGTGCCTCAGTCTGAATATTTTCTCCAGACTTGTAAACCTCTGTCGAAGCACGTGGCTTCTCCATTAGTTGGCGGCGAGAAAAAGGATCGTCAAATTTTCTATGGAAATGACGCCTTTTACGTGCTTTTTAGACTCCATCAGGTAAAGTTATAATATAGTAGAGCATGAATAGGGGTGCTGATCCGAAATTTTCCGATTTTGGAACAATTTTTCATTCCGAATTCCAAAATTTTGATTTCCGATTTTTCCAAATTTTTTTAGATGGGAATTGAAATAAATATTAGATTCCGATTTTCTATCTGATTTCAGTTTCTAAAAATTCCGATTTTTTTCACTACAATTTATTTTGTATTTTCGGTGACTAAAATTAAAAGTTTCCGAATTCTTCCGGTTCCGATCCGAAAGTTTCCAATTTTGGAACAAGTTTTTTTCATTCCAGTTTCTGAAATTCGTTTTCCGGTTTTTTTTAAGGAAATTGGAATTATTTTTACACTTCTGAAAAAAATCGATTTTTTTCTCCAGAAACTGTCAATTCTAATTCGATCTTCCGATTTCGACCGCCCCCTAAGTATGAATTTACGATAAAGTGTTAAACATTTGATGAGTTTTGTTTTGATGGTATTCCGTTCTTGCAGACACTATATGAGAGAATATTATCAGCTAAGGTGAATTCAGTATCTGGAGAATCGAAATGGAGAATCACAAAGGACGAGAGTTCTGATACTTACTCCAGGTTTTTTTTTTTAATTGCAGAATTTAATTTATTTATTATATCTTGGGAGCCATATACTCTTTTACGGATTTCTAATTGAAATTCATTGCAGGTTTATAAGTGCTCTATTTAGCTTACTTGATGGATCTTCTGATAATACAAAATATGAAGATGATTGTCGATCACTGATTGGAAACCAGTCTTATATGCTGTTTACTTTAGATAAGTTGATATATAAGCTGGTCAAACAGGTATTCTTCCTTTTTTTTATTGTACTTTTTTTTTATCCTTTCTGCAAGTGCCTTAATTTCCATACCACATATTTACTCGTGCTCTGTCTTTCATCTGCAGCTTCAAGCTATTACGGGTGACGAAGTGGACTGTAAGCTTCTTCAGTTGTATGAATATGAAAGTTCTAGAAAGTCAGAGAAGTACGTTGATTCAGTTTATTACGAAAATGCCCATGTTATTCTGCACGAGGAGAACATATACCGGCTTGAATGTGTACGTCTTCACATCAGTTCCTTTTATAATGCATTGATATTGACTTGTTTTCTTCATTATTGTCAACAACTGTACCGATTATTATTATAATCATAATTTTTAACCTTTTTTTTTAATTTTGTAAAAATTTTTGTAGACATCTTTTCCCACCCGCTTGTCGATCCAGTTAATGGACGATACAAATGAGAAGTCCGAAGCAACTGCAGTTTCAGTGGATCCTAATTTTGCCGCCTATCTCCAAAATGACTATCTTTCATCGGTTCATGGAAAAAAGGAGTCGTCCCCAATAATGCTGAAGAGGTATTGATATAAAGTTCCAATCTTGAAATACAAGAGCGCCTCTTATTTTAAGAAATGGATTAAATCTTCCGACTAGAAAGATGTGGAAATTATTGCAGTTTTTCTCCAGACATGCAGTGACGTAGATTTTTCGATATATGCCGTCGCAATGACATTGAATTATTACCTTTATTTGCTTGAAACTGGATTTCAGGAAAGTTATTCCTTTCTATAGACTACTATTTCTGCTATATTTTTATTATTTAGATACTAATAGACATATCAGACACTTCTTTGTTTGACTTATGTACCTACTCTAAACCCTTATTTTACATTTCCTTTTTCTTGCACTTCCCGTAGTATTGCCGGGATGATTAGTAGATCAAAATGGAAGTCGTAACAATTTAATGATTATTTTGGGGACATAAGTAATAGCTGTCTTTGTTATTTATTTACCCGTTTTATCAGGCTTATTTAGAAGTTGAAGTTTGAGTCCTCATTTAAAGGAACAATTATTGGCAATCTAAGAATATGCCGCAAATGCTTCCTATAACCTGTCCTACTGTTGCTCATCCCTCGAATTGAACTATAGTCGGACACAAATTAATAATGATACAATATTTGATATTTAATTACCATTTTATTTGAGCTCAGTATTTCAATGTACAACAAAATAAATCATTCGAGTACAAAAAGTTTGTATTTTGTTTATTTCACTGCCTGACCTGCTCTTGACACGTGCAGGAATATGCGGAAGTATGCTAGTCTTGACGAAGCTAGTGCTTTCTATATGGCTACAGAAAACGTGTTGATAATGAATGGTTTGGAATGCAAGATGGCAACAAACTCATTTAAGGTACAATTAATTCTCCGTATTATTTCGGAATAAGTGAGCGTCAGATTTAGTCAATTTTTTGTTAATATACCTCTTTTATTTGTCACGTGCGAAATCTTATTTCATCAATTTTTCATTGAATTCTCCTTTGACGTGTCCTCGAATCTCTCTCTTGTGTGCACGTGTGTTGATTACACGTACAAAGATTGCTTACATGTATTTCTCCAGCGTAATATCGATACACTACAAAATTTATTGCTCTTCCGTAAATACAGAAACCTTCCTAAGTCATAAATTCTTCATCTGTCTTTGTCGTAGAAGTTAATGCAAATGTCCAAAATTATCAGTTTATTAAATGACTATATTAGCCCTGTGGTATTTCGGTAATGCTTACGTATATGGGTTGAGTTCGACTTGTAATGTTGATATAGTTGACATCATAATATATTTGTAGTATATCCTATAATTGCAAAATGCAAATATAATTTATGTTTCTCGGCTATGTGGTTCTCATTTGGTTAGATTCTTTCTTTAATCTGATCTCGAAATTGTTATTTCAGATCTCATACGTTTTAGACACAGAGGACTACTTTATTCGTTTAGGGCGGAGAAGAAAGAACAGATCATCAAGCAAGGAACAAGCGAGGGTGCAAACGTTTCACCAGTTTTTGTCAGCATCTCTATGATTTGGCATTCCCTTTTTCACGATGCCACATGAGGTATTTACCGTTTTACCCTTGTGGAGATTCTGTTTTAGATAGAGTTATGTGTTAATTTAAAACTAGCGGTGGAAAATAGTTGGACTGTATTTGGATCGGATCCACATGGACCCATTGCCTTTTTCAATAGACCCAACATTAATCTTGCCTTCAAAATAAAAAATCTCTCTGCCTCAAGATAGTTGAAATCCTGACTAAAATCCTAAAATTCTAGGATTTTTACGATTTAACTGCCCCGGCCTACGCTTTGTTAAATCCCAGTAGAATCCTAATCCAAGCAAAATCCTCCGAGAATGGGAGTAAAATCTTGAAAATCTATGATTTTTCTGCGATTTAACGACCAAGTATTGATTTATGTTGGGTGGAGATGTTATATATATATATATATATATATATATATATATATATATATATATATATATATATATAAGTTGGAATCTATTTAAATGTACAAGATATGTGAAATCCTACAATTTTGCAATTGGATTTCACGATTACGATTTCACGGTCCCCTTTCTATTTTACTTCAAATGCTGATTCTGACGACCTTGCTTTCCCCCACTTACGCTGTTTTATCTTTTTTTTTTTTTCCGGCAGACTTTGCTGGCAATTTCTCCATCGAAGAACTGGCATGTCAGCAAGTTCGTCGATTTGCGTACGAAGGAATTAAATAACTTATTGGTTTGATCTGATCATGTCGATGGAACGGATGCGGTTGATCTATCTGTATATAAAAGGATTTGGCCCCGTAATCTTAAGTGTAGAGTCTTATGTTTATTTGATTGTATTTATAACTTTTTTCACAGGCAAAAGGTAGCTCTCTTTTTGTTTCTTACAATGTTGTAATAGGTTTGTTTGTAAGTTTCAGGCAGTTGGGATTCTGCCAGAAAGATGATATAAGAGACAAAGGGTTGGGGATAGGGTTCTTTTTTTGCCTTCTTGAAATGTGTATATAGAACTCCATGGGAAAACTCGTGTAAATGTATTTTCAACAACCTATAATTTCTTGTCTATTTGAAGTTGATTTTTTGTGTTCAGAAGTTACAAATTTAAGTTGATTCCATTAAATTAGATTTTTTTTTCTTTGTGTTGATTTTAACAGTGGCGAAGCCAGAATTTTTTTTACCGAGAGTCAATATTTCATTTGCTATTTTTTACATAAAAAGAAGACCTAGTTTTTTCGTTTTGATTTTTTTATCATTTCGACTGTTTATAATTTTATGTGGTATTTAAAAAGACGTCTACAAACAAAAGAAAATAGGTGACTAGTGCAATTGGAATCAATGTAGTTATATTGAAAACGTTAGAATTTTTCATATGAGTAGTTTTAGTTTTGCGATTTTATGAAAGTGCGTGTCCTTATTTTTGAAAGTTTCCGAAACTTTTTAAAAATGTTAAAACTCGTGAAATTTCCATAGCTTTTGGAATTTAAATGAATTTCTAGATTCAGAAAATTTGGATTTGGAATTAGAATTGGAATAAATTTTGTACTTCCGAAAAAAATAATTTTTTCCCGAAAAGGTTAATTACGATCCAATTTCTCCGACTTTCAGTCCTAATATCAAGCTAGAAGATAAACTACAAGATAATAAGCACACAAAAAAAAAAACATGTATATTTAAGGTTTCAGACCCCTCACACATTCTAAGATACAAGCTTGAAATACAGAACTATAAAGCATAAATTACCGTACAATTTATGTGTTTTATTCTTACAAGGAGAGAGAGAGAGAGAGAGAGAGAGAGAGAGAGAGAGGAGAGAGAGAGAGAGAGAGAGAGAGAGAGAGAGGTCTTTTATTCAGTCACGCGCCACTACAACATATATGGCTTTAAGCGACGCAAGAAAACCGTCACGAAAGACTTAAAAACCGTCGGGAATAGTTTTCCCGACGGTTTTAGACCGTCAGGAGACCGTCGAGAAAAAAAGGCGTCGTATAAAGTTTCATGTGTAAAAAAACCGTCGGGAATGTTTTTTCCGACGCTTAAATAACCGTCGGGAATACTTGTACATTTTTTAGAACTCTTCTTTTTCTGCCAATTGTAATCCAATTTTTCCCTGAATCTTGTTGCCATCAATTGTTGAATATAAAAAATCGAAGACAACAAAAATTAACTTGCCAATACTAAATAAATATTTACATCTTAAGATAACAAAATATATATTTCAATTTCCAAACATATGCTGGTTTATCTGAATTTCCACAAAATATAGACAAATTTTAATAAAATTTACAATTGAAGGTTTATCTGAATTTGAACAAAAGACTCCAGCCACCTCAATAGCTCACATTTGTCCAATAACAATCTTCTATCGTTGCCAAACACTTCGAACATTTCTGAAAAATAAAAAATCCAAATTTACAAATCCAAATTTCAACAACAAGGACTACTTAAAATCAAGTAATGAAAAATAAATATTTCTGAAGAAAATTCAGATAGCAAAAGTTTACCTTTTTAGCGATTTCCTTTTACACACGTCATTCGCACTTAATTCCTGAGTTTGAGTTTCTTGAATCTGAGTTTCTTGATCATGGGCTGGCATATGAGGCATGCTAGATGACTCAGAGAGTGCATGAGCACATTGTGTATGAGTTGATGGCATATGATGTATACTTGAAGACTCCGGGACTGATTTATGTGGTTGAGTGCCTCCTTCATCGTGCAAATTAGACGATGTAGGAATTCTACGATCCTGTAGGAATTTGATGTATGCCAAAATATTAATTACTACATACATTTGCAAAATACAATTTCCAAGTAAAATAATTACCCGTCTAGACGTGGAAGGAGCTGAAACTGCAGCAGATTCAGGAGCCAAAGAGTTTGTTCTTGTGAGAGATCGTATAACATCTTGCACTGTTTCTTCGATTATGCTACGCAAGCCAGATTCTATCTCTTCCTTTAATCCCTTCCGAATGGAATCCACAAGGATAGAAACTTTTTCCTCAACAAGTTTCGTTTGATTTTTTAATGAACTCACTTGAGAAGGTGTTGGACCAAAGCCATATTTTCTCATCTGCCCTGGCTTTTCTGGACCCAAAAATTGAGCTAAAAGTTGATCTCTCATTTCTTCTGATTTCAAGCCCTCTGGATTTTTGGAAATCATTTGTCTAAGCTTTTCCTACAAAATGATGAAATTAGAACTGTATAACTGAAAGCCGTAAACATCGAATTGAAATAACATAATACATACGATGAATTTAGATGTCTTTCTATCAAGTGGTGTCTTGGCCAAACCAACATGTGTTGCCATCCAAAAGTCGTAATCAGTAGGATCTTTGCCATTTTCTATTTGCATCTGAAAAATGAAACATAATAAAAAAGAGCTATATGTATTGCATCTGAGAAGCATAAGTCAAAGAAGTAATACTTACAACAAAACATATTTATCTATTACAAATTAAAAAAAGTTCGGTACCTCATTCCTAACAACTGCATAACTTTTTTTTCCAGTTCTATGTGGCACTTTTTGCTTTCCTCGGTTCAGAGAGTTTTTATCACTAAGGCACTGCATAGAAAATAATAAAAATAGGTTAAATGTTGGATATTATTTTTTAAACGATAATATGAAATCATCAAACCTCTGCACTTTTAGAACTCCAATGATGAACTAAAGTTGGCCACTGATCTTTTTCAACAATGTCGGGACAATTAGCTAATCGCTCAGCATCAGTCTCATGTATAGAATAATAAGTTCTTTTAACCTCAGATTTCCAATTCTTCCACATATTGCCCAACTTTTTAAGAAACTGAGGTTTAAAATTGTCTTCGAGTGAGAAGTTTGCCTATTATAAAAAATTAGAAAAACTGAGTTTGCCGATTAAACCAAGTACATAATCTAATGTATCTAATAATGAAATATGTTCACTATTTCATCACATACAGTAATGTGTTACCTTATACTCCAACCAAGTTATTTCCTTGTTGTACTTGTCATTTTTTCTCCAATCTCCAACTGTAAGAGGAAATCGACTGCCATTTTTTGCCACACGACCCATCTGACTTGAAAGTTTTGCTGCATTTTCACCAATAGCTTGATTAAATTCATTAACTTGAACTTCAAAATTTTCATTGCCCCATGATTTGAGCATTTTTGTACGACCTCGCCCTTTTTTTGTTGTTCTCTGACTCGTCCCTGGATTCAAAGTAAAAACATATATTGAGTTTAGTAGAAAGTTAATAGTGTAACTGAAAACATGATAAATTTACCATCATATGAAGCATCATCTGCATTGTTCTCCGATTCCATAAATCCACCACCATTCGATGGAACATAAGAATTAGATGATGATGGTTGACCATGTGAATATACATGATGGAAATGCGAATCAGAATGAGAGGGTGGAAATTTTGCATTCCCTTGATGAAAATGTTGCTGAGAATGAGAGGGTGGGAATTCTATATTCCCTTGAGAAACAGCGTTTCGTATGCGTTTCCGATCCCGTGATTCATAATCTGCGAGAATAAAACATTGACACATATATTATACAGTGATTTCACAATCAATCTCAAATATTTTAATTGATATACTTTCGATTATGCTAATTTTTATTACTCGAACTTAAGACATAGGAACAACTTAATACCTGAATTTCTTAGCCGGCAAAACTTGCACAAAACTTGCAAATGAGAGTCGAATAAACCTGTTGTTCAGAAAACGAAAATCAAAGTGTCATGATTTGTACCACTAATCTAATAATTCACAATATACTGTAGAATCAAGAAAATAGTTATACAAGTCGTATTTTGAGACATCTTGAACAACTTAATATATTGACCACAAAATGTAATAGCTATTTACTACAATAATCTAACAACTCTTAGAGCCTAAATCCACTAGCTTGAGCTGCATCAAGGTTAGTTTCGTCATCATCGCTGTAGTACAAGTCTTCCTCATTGTCATTCTCATATTCATCTTCATCACCCAAGTCGTCATCTTGATGGTTCATCCTATTTATTTCAAATTCCTGAATTTCAGATGTAAGAACTATACTTCCTTCCACATCAGTCCTCACCCATGTCTCACGTTCATCACAATTGGTAGTAGAATTATTCAACGACTGCCCATTGAGAAGACCAGACTCATCAATCTCCATAATATCTTCCATGAGGTCATTTGACCTCATATCAATTAAGTCACGCGGTATTGTCTTAACAACAACATGCCAATTTATGTCAATCGGGTCTTGCGCATACCATATCTGTTGGGCTTGAGAAGCTAAGACAAAAGGTTCATCCGAAATCCGATTATGCTTATATAACAAATGGTTGAAATTTACTAAGGTAAACTTAAACTCATCCTCTCTAACCCCTGCATTATTGTCAACCCAATTGCACTTAAATAGCACGTACGTCATTTCATTTGGGTAACGCAATTCAACAATATCTGTTAAGATACCGTAGTAATTCACAACATCAGAAATTGGTCTTTTATCTTTACTACTTGAATAGCTTTCAGCAACCGCACTTAAGAAAACACCACTGTTCTGGGTTTTTTTTCTCATCTCCCGATCCTTAGTGTGAAACCTAAAGCCATTTATCACGTAACCAGAATATCTTTTTGCCCATCTATCAGGACCTCTTGCTAAGCATCTCACTTCATCTGTAAGTTGACTTACATTTCTGCCACTTTTCTCTAATGTTGAAACCTATAATATTAAAACATAAGTTAAACCCTTCACATGGCCGGTAAACACTATGAAAAATGGGAACTAAAATGAAAATAACTCACATATTCTTTAAGCCATTGGTAGAATGTTGCATTATGGATCTTTTGTCTTTCATATATATCCAACCGACGCTTCTCACTTTGTAACACTTTAAGGTGCTCTCTGGGCAAAATAACAAATAATTATTCTATATGTATTGGAGTATTTGTGTGTATGTATTTACATAAAAATAGATTACCAAAAACTTACTCACGAAATGGAGCAAGCATGTCACAATTTCCAAGAACATATCTGTGCGCTTGAGTCCACGAAATTGTTTCCATGTATATTATTTCTGTTCCTCCGATAACACGACCTTCTCCTTTGCAAATATTCTCAAAACCTTCATAATTTCTCCTAAAACGATCACCTATTGACTCCACATCACCCAAGTACCGAGAGCAAAAGTTCATACATTCTTCAACTAAGTATCCTTCGGCAATCGAGCCTTCTGGGCGGCTTCTTGTGCGGACATAGTTCTTAAGTGTACATAAGTACCTGTTGAAAACATTGTTATGAAATGTAGAAACAATATATTTTAAAAATATATATTAATTGTACCTCTCAATTGGAAACATCGAGCGATATTGAACTGGTCAAGAAATTCTTTCCAGGTGGCAAAGAGTTAATGCTATGCTCTGCTCTAGTGCTTCGAAATCACTCGCACGACTTACTTTGGAGTACAATTGCCTAAAGTTATTGCCTAACTCAATCAAAACTTTGCTTACATTTTTAGGCAAACAATGTCTCACAGCTATTGGCAGTAGCAACTCCAATAATATATGATTGTCATGGCTTTTAAGTCCAGAAAGATTCCACCCTTTTTTTTTTACACATCTTGAAATGTTTGATGCAAATCCATCAGGCACTTTCACGTCCCTTATTATTTTGCAGAACATATCTTTATCTTTCTTACTCATGGAAAAACTTGCATAAGGCAAATAAGCCTTCCCATTGCCATGTAGTTGTGGATGAAGCGCATTTCTGATTTCCAAATCTTGAAGATCTAGACGAGCATTCAAATTATCTTTTGATTTTCCTTTGATGCCCAAAACCGTCCACATAATATTATCACAAACATTCTTCTCAATATGCATTATATCAAGGTTGTGACGAATCAAATTGTCTTTCCAATAAGGTAGCTCGAAGAGAATACTTTTCTTTTTCCAATTATGTTGTCTTGAGGTGCCATCGAGCTTCCTTTTTTTCAACGGTAAAGATATCCTCTTACCATATACAGTGGCAACATCATTCAACTCATTAATCAAATCATTTCCATAGGCTCGAGTGGGCTTATAGCCATATTCTACATTGCCATCAAATGATATTGAATCATCTCTAAACTTGTGATTTTCATCCAAGAATCTACGATGACCCCTAAAACAATATTTTCTGCCATATTTCAACCATTTCGAGTGGGTGTCGAGACAACAACACGGGCAACCATATTCAGTTTTCACATTCCAGCCAGATAAATTACTATAACCAGGAAGATCGGAGATTGTCCACATAAGTGCAGCTCGCATGTTGAACATTTGTTTGCTGGTTGCATCATAAGTCGGCACTCCTGGACTCCACATCTCTTTTAACTCTTCCATAAGAGGTCGTAGAAAAATATCAATATCATTACCGGGGGCAGTAGGACCATCAATTAATAAACATAGCATGATACTCGACTTGCTCATGCACATCCCCGGTGGAAAATTGTATGGAACAAGTATTACGGGCCACGTGCTGTGAGAAACACTCATGGACTTGAAAGGATTAAATCCGTCGGTCGCTAGTCCAAGTCTGACATTGCGACAGTCACTTGCAAAGAGAGAATGTTGTTGGTCAAATGTCTTCCAAGCGAGAGAATCTGCAGGGTGTCTTTGTACCCCATCATCTATTCGTCCTTCTGCATGCCATCTCATGAGTGGTGATGTCTCGGTGCACATATACAGCCTTTGAAGTCTTGGTATTAATGGAAAATACCTAACAACCTTACTTGGAATCTTTAGGCGTTCATCTTCATCATCACAAACTTTACACCTTGGCATTTGACATTTACTGCACCTTGTCTCATTTTCTGTTTCTTTCCAATACAACATACAATCATTAGGGCATACATGAATTTTCTTATAATCCAGACCAAACCCTTTAATTATCTTCCATGCTTCCCTATACGAACCCGGAAATGCAGCACTATGAGGTAAAGCCACTTTTAAGATCTCTAATAGCACTGAAAATGACTTATTACTCCAACGGTAAGTAGACTTCACCCGCAATAACCGAAGTATGAAGGACAATAACGTGAACTCGCATCCAGGATATAACTTTTGTTTGGCATTTTGTAATAGTTTAAAAAATGCCTTAGTTTCCTTATCAAGCTCAATATTATTAATCTCCTCAGAATATGCAAGACCGTCATTTTCCTCCATAAGACCAAAAGCATCATTAATCATACCATCTATATCGTCTCCCTCGTCCTCGAGAAAGTCATCATCTTCTTCATAAATGCAAACGGGAGTCTCCCCATGATATACCCAATTAGTGTAGGTATCAAGAAATCCATACATTATCAAATGTTCGTAAACTATTCCTTTTTTCCTATTCATTAAATTTTGACACTTGATACACGGACACTTAATTTTATCCCCCGATCCCAGATTTGCGTATGCAAACTTAAGAAATGATTTGGCACCATTTACGTATTCGGGCTGCAATCGATTTCGGATTTTAATCCAACTTTTATCCATAGATAAAATTGTTTATCCCTTGGATTTTATATTATGTTTAGCAAGGCCAAAGAAAGACCTGCCACCCAAACTTTTCAATGTCACAACAATAATCTGAAATTGTAATTTGTTGTTTTACCAAAACCAAGAAAATATGGAACTCAAATCTGAAAATTATGCACTTCTAAAATTGATTATGAAATAAACGCATACATAGACACACATACATACACTAACCATTGTTGGATATTTCAGAGCTTAGATAACAGCACCGCTAATTACTAGTCAAAAACCTTAGCATCAATGCATGTTCCAGCTGAGACAGCGATTCTTGTAGCTAGTTGATGCTTACATTGAAAATATGAAGAAATTATTAATCAAATATTCTCATTTCTACCTCATTAATTTCGAGAATCGAATAATAGAATAATGCTGGATAAATAGAAGTAAACTCACACAAATCCCTCCCCCTTCTGTAAAAAATGTTATTATGAGCACAATAATGTTCTGGAGAGCAAAAGTTATTAAGGACAAATATGAGCACAATAATATTTTGATAAATTAAAAAAAAAATTATGAACAAAATAACCATTTCATATGCCCTATTTTATCTTATCAATTTGTCAAACCTAATTTCAACATTCAATTAATAATTCAATACCACCTCAATTTTTTTCCAAAATCTGGAGAAACAGACTAACCAGAGTTAAATAGCAGTGGGAGATGACGATTTCGACAACGGAGATGATGATTACAGCAGCGGTGACGATGTAAGAATCGGTGACGGTGGCGGTGGCAACAACGGTGGCAATACCTAACGTGGAGGTTTAAATTGGGTTTAATTTGTAATAAAAAATAGTTCAGAGATTTTTTATTGTACGTGTTTGAAAGCGTGATTGACTTTCACGTTTAGAAAATTTGGAAAGCAGCAATACAAAAAGAAAAAGCTTTGGTCTACAAAATTGAAGTGCAAATACAATATTTTATTAAGTTTTATATGACGGTGAAACGTTAGATGGGAATGCTTAAAAAAGCGTCGACAATACACCTTTATACGACGGTTTTATAGCGCCTACAATATTTTCAAAAGCGTCATAAATACGTGTTTATACGACGGTTCTAAAACCGTCGGGTAAACAAAGGGTCGTATAAACCCCAAATTGTTGTAGTGCGCCAAGCCATGTTGAAGCAATATTTCACACGTTATATAGAGCTCTGATTCCCTGGATATCATCTGTATTCAAACCCTTGGTCCTTCCAGACGGAATTCGAGGGTACATAATCGCAGCCTCGACCGAGCTATGATCTAGCCCAAGAAGGTGCCCGATTTCATGCAACGCCACCGTTTCCAAGTCGAAAGCATCTTGGACTGGCCCAACGGACCACAGCTCATCCGCATCGTAATGGAATCTCCCATTGGTCGGAGCAAAAGCATGGGCTAGGGTTCCGCCGTCGAACGGGAATCCATCCCCGTGATCCCCACGGTGAAACCCTATCACCAGATCGGCGGAATTCTGGGCCAGCGAAAAGGTGAAATGGGTGGAGGAGGCCCATTTTTGAAAGGCCCGAGAAACAGGGCCCACTGCCGCCGCGGGGGTGTTGGGCAAAAACCTGTAAGTTAGATGGGTTTTGGAAGGTGGCCATCTAGGGTTTCCCCGAAAGAAAGAGTAGTGAGATACTGTATGAATATGTTTGCTGCTCGAGTTCGATTCGTGTCCTTTTGTCCCATGCTTCTGCATGGTGTTTCTACCGTTGATGATGTCTGGGACCCCACATCGAGGGGTGGTCATTTTCGATACCGTCGTGGCATCTAATGTGCCCGTGGGGTTAATATGGTAATTTCGCTGGTAGGTTTTGATGGCGGACTCTAAGGTTTCGTCGAAATCGTCGTTGTTGGCGTGGGTTTCATTTGGGTATTGGAGATAGCCAAATTGATGGAGGTAGTTTTTGAGGTGGTGGATATCTTTGGTTTTGTTACCCTTGTGACAACCTTGTAGGGTTTTGATGAACTCAAATGGTGATGGTTTTTGTTCACTTGGTGTATCCCTCTTGGCTTGGCCAATAGGAGAGAGGGAAATTATGGCAAAAATGAAGATGAATGATAGGAGATTAAATTGTTTAAGTGCCATAATTAAGTATTCAAGAAGATATACTCAAAGAATTGAATAAGAAGTTTGTGTATAACATATTGCTATGTAGTATGTCTATTTATATATACACATTTGTATGTGGAAAAATGATGCATAAATATTAGAGATGACTCATAGTAGAAGTCTGTTTTATGTTTCACTAGAATACATTGCCTTGCATTTAGAAGACCAATGACTATATTGTGGAAATTTGCGTCCATATGTATAAATTTTCCACATTTGGAATGTGGAAATAAATTGTGTTTATTTTCCACGAATAATTGACGGGTTTGGAATTTTTAGGAAACTATATTGTGACCAATGACTTGGAAAATTGGGAGGAAATTGAACAAATTGGAATTAAATTACCACATTTGAAAAAAAAAAAAAATCTTTTTTTCTTTTGGAAATTGAAAAATAATGTTATTGGTCCAATATCCCAAGTAAAATTAAAAAAAAAAAAACTCTTTCATAACAATAAGTAAGTATATAAATGCAAACAACTCTCGTGTCCTATGCAATCAAAAGTAAAGTACAACGGCATTCTGCCAACGATCGTTATGTCGAGTTTGTAATACATGGTTAGTTTAGTGTGATTTACTTATCTTGTATGCATAGTTTGCAAGTTATTATATCATAGTGTAAGTTTACCTAGTGCACCTATATAATTGGCTGCAGGTTCTTTCATATCAAAAAAGAAAAAGAAAAAAGTAAAATGGCAGTGTACTCATTTTCAAATTTACATTAACAAAGTAACGATTTTGTAGATGTTGCGTTCGATGAAATATATCTGGTGATTCGACGGCATTGATCTATATATAATAACACACAGGCGCCTATGCGTATGTGTGGCTTAGCGGATGGTTATTTATATAGATCTATGATCTAAAATCACCTAATATATTTCACCAAGTATAGCATTTTATAAATCAAAAACGACGATCGTTACCCAGTAATATTGTGTGGGGGTTATTTATCTAAATTAGGGTATTAATCTTTTAAATAAATATTATGGATTCTAGTAAAAAATAAATTATAAAATGACTAAAATATTCCTCTTACTAATTTTTTTACCATTAATTATCTACTTAACAAATTAGTACTAATAATAGCAAATTAAAATAATTTTTTTTTCCAAAACGATAAATAATTTCATAAAATGATTATTTATTTACCAAAAAAGAAAGTTAGTTCTATTATGATTGGACCGAATATTCCTCAATATTTCAGCGGTAGTTTGGTCTTTCTGGCAACGAGGGTGATTAATTCGCTAATACGTACTACTAGGGGTAATATGCTATCCCTTAAATCCATCATAATTTGAACTAAATGATAAGTTTAAATCCAATATTTTATTTAAATCTTTAGTTTGAAATAATATCAAATCCTTAAATTTTCTTTTATTCCTATGTTGCCCTTATTTAAATCATATAACTTCACGTATCTCAATCCAGATTTATTTATTTTCTTTAATCTTCTCTCTCGCCTTTTATTCTCTCTCTCTCTCTCTCTCTCTCTCTCTATATGTCAATTTCCTCTTTTTTTTTTTTTTTTTCTCTCTCACCTCTCTATCTCTATCTCGCTCTCTCCGGTAAGCACAAAGGCCGGGGCCGACGGCGGAGGGAATAGGAGCGGGGCCAACTGGGGAAGTGGTGGTGGAGGAGGCGGCGGCGGCGGCAGCTGGGTGGCGGAGGAAGCAGGGTTCTTTTTTTTTTTCTTCTTTATATATATATATATATATATATATATATATATATATATATATATATATATATATATATATATATATATATATATATATATATATATATATATATATATTTTCAATGTTATGTAAGGAAAAAATAAAGTTTTTTTTTATATATAATAGTGCATAAAATGCTAAAATCACGAAAGAAAAAAAAAAGACAAACGAGTATTCTGTAAAAAATATTAAAAAACGTAAATTGGAAAAATGAAAAACATAGAAAAATGATAAATGCAGTTTGATTTTACTTAATGCAAATTTTGAATTTTGTACTGGAGGGGCATTTTTGGAATAAATTTTATGAAAAATGTGAAACAAATGTTTAGTTGGACTTGTCATTTAGTTCTAATAAATTTTGTCAAGAGGGAGCCCCTGTGTACTAATTAGTTTGCATAATAATATCTATCTATCTGGAAAAATCATTTTGGCGGTCACCGGCGCCGAACTTAATGGCAGATCAACTGTGAGCCGCCGCCGAATTAGAGCCCACGATCCAATTTGTTAGATCCGATATACGTAATCCAGATTCCACCACCGCTCTCGTTTCTTCTTCAATCTCGAAAATTCCGACGGCGAAAAGAGTCAACCATGGGATTGTTCACCTACACAGTAGCCGGCGGCGCTCTAATTCTACTCGGCGCGTGGGAATCGGTCATCTCCGCCTCCGAATCCCTCAAACAAACCCCACCGCCACACTCGCCGCAAAATAGTAAACAATCCACGCCGCCGGGAACAGCCTCATTTTCGTCGACAGTGACGTTTCTGCTGATCTCCGTTCTGTCCGTACTCTTCGTCGTGAACTCATTCATCTCTTTATCCGACGTCGTCGCCTCCGACGATGACGTCGGTTTCGCCCTACAGTTGGAGGTAATTGCAATCGGCTTCCTTTTCACAGGCAAAAGGTAGCACTCTTTTTGTAATAGGTTTCTTAATTTGTAAGTTTAAGGCATTATGCTAGAAAGATGATATAAGAAACAAAGGGTTTGGTATAGGGTTTCTTTTGGCCTTCTTGAAATGTGTATATAGAACTCCATGGGAAAACTCATGTAAATGTATTTTCAACAACCTATAATTTCTTGTTTATTTGAAGTTGATTTTATGTTTTCAGAAGTCAAAATTTTAGTTGATTCCATTAAATTATCATTTCTTGTTTATTTGAAGTTGATTTTTTGTTTTCAAAAGTTACAAATTTAAGTTAATTCCATTAAATTAAATTTTTTCTGTGTTGATTTTGTGGATTTGAACAGTGGCGAAGCCAGAATTTTATGTTTCACGTTAAAAAAAGACCTAGTTTCTTCTATAATTTTGATTTTTTTAATTTCGAGGGCTTATAAGTTTATGTGGTATTTGATAATATAGATGTCTACAAACAAAAGAAAATAGACCACTAGTGCAATTGGAATCACTATAGTTATATTTAAAATATTAGAATTTATCTAGTTTTATTTTTACGATTTTATGAAAGTGAGTGTCCTTATTTTAAAATTTCCATTGCTTTTGGAACTGGAATAAATTTTGTACTTTCAAAAAATTTTTTTTTTTTTTTCGAAAAGATTAATTTCGATCCATTTTATCTGACTTTCAATCTTGATGCCAAGATATAGGATAAAACTACAAGAAAATAAGCACAAAAGGAAACATGTTTATTTAAGGTTTCAGACCCGTCACACATTCTAGGATACAAGCTTGAAATACAGAAATATGAAACATAAATTACCGTACAATTTATGTGTTTTATTCTTACAAAGGGAAATCTGGTGTGAGAGAGAGAGGGAGAGAGAGAGAGAGAGAGAGAGAGAGAGAGAGAGAGAGAGAGAGAGAGAGAGAGAGAGAGAGAGAGAGAGAGAGAGAGAGAGAGATAGAGAGACAGAGAGAGAGAGAGAGATAAAAACAGGTCTTTTATTCAGTCACGCGCCAAGCCACGTTGAAGCAATATTTCACACGTTATATAAAGCTCTGATTCCCTGGATATCATCTGCATTCAAACCCTTGGTCCTTCCAGACGAAAGTCGAGGGTACATAATCGCAGCCTCGACCGAGCTATGACCTAGCCCTAGAAGGTGCCCGATTTCATGCAATGCCACCGTTTCCAGGTCGAAAGCATTCGGCACTGGCCCAATGGACCACCGCTCGTCCGCATCGTAATGGAACCTCCCGTTGGTCGGAGCGAACGCATGGGCTAGGGTTCCGCCAGGTCCGTCGAACGGGGCCCCATCTCCGTGGTTCCGACGATGAAACCCTATCACCATATCAGCACTCCGACCGCTCGGGGCCTGCGAAAAGGTGAAGTGAGTGGCGGCGTCCCATCTCTGGAAGGCCCGTACGACGGGGGCCACCGCCCCCGCGGGGGTGTTGGGAGAAAACCCGAACGTCAGATGAGTTCTGGAAGGCGGCCATCTGAGGTTTCCCGGAAAGAAACTGTAGTGAGACACTGTATGGATATGGCCGCTCGAGCCCGATTCGTGTTTTTTCGTACCGGACTTCTGCATGGTGTTATCGCCGTTGATGATGTCGGCGACCCCACATCGAGTGGTGGTCATTGTAGATACCGTTATGGCATCTAGTGTGCCAGTGGGGTTAATATGGTAATTACGCTGGTAGGTTTTGACGGCGGATTCTAGGGTTTCGTCGAAGTCGTCATTGTAATTGGCGTGGGTTCGATTTGGGTATTGGAGATAGCCAAATTGATGTAGGTAGTTTTTAAGATTGTGGATTTCTTTGGTTTTGTTGCCCTTGTGACAACCTTGTAGGGTTTTGATGAATTCAAATGGTGCTTGTTTTTGTTCACTTGGTGTATTCCTCTTGGCTTGGCCAATAGGAGAGAGGGAAATTAGGGCAAGAATGAAGATTGATAAAAGGTGAGAAGTAGCCATTGTTGAGTGTCAAGAATATTAAGATATTGCTTTTGCTCTATAGAATAATGTTTATTTACATGTCTATTTATAGAGATTCATTTGTATTGATTTTGATTTTTATTTTTTTAAAAGAGTGCCATAATTTGTACTAGGTGTCTATTTTATGAATTTTAACTAGAAATAAAGAAAGAAAGAAAGAAATAAATATATAATACAAGATTACAAGTTGTTGACTTGGATGACCAAAATACCAGGTCCATGCATGACAATTGACTTTCTTTATTCCATTTTAAATATAGAAATAGAATGTTGGTTTCATTTTCCTTGGAAAAATAAGATGATTTAAAAAAAAAAGGGTAAATTACAAACACCCCTGAGGTATGGTCAAATTACAAAAACACCCCTCTTGTTTGGATAATTACAACCACCCCCTCAACTCCTCAAATTTAGTGGAATCTTCGAGATTATATGGAATATTATCACTTTTGTACACGTTTTATCCCATTCAAACTCTACATTATGAAGCAAGATGATCATAATATGTGATTTTTAGCTTGTATATATCAGTTTGTGGTGCATCGGAAACTGCATTTTTACACAAAACGAGTACAAACTAGAGCACATTCCACGGAATCTAGATGATTATGTTGAATTGGGCACCATACGGGTGGAGGTGTAAGAAAAAATCATAGTTGAGGGGGGTATTTGTAATTATCCAAACAAGAGGGGTGTTTTTGTAATTTGACCATACCTCAGGGGGGTGTTTGTAATTTACCCTAAAAAAAAATCTTCTTCATTAGAAGAGGAAAGAAGAAAGACATAATTAAAATGGGGTTCAATGTTAAGTCCAATCAACTAATTAATAGGGTTGTCCAGCAAGGGATGACCTAGCCGTTGGAGCAAGTGAGTGTGATTGAATTGACCCAGGTTCGAATTTTCTTGCCAACGGTCGCTAGGTCGAGCTTGCGACACATGGTTAGTCTAGTGTGGTTTACGTCTCTCTTATGATTTACAAACTATTATACGAGAGTGTAGGTCTACACAGTGCACCTATATAGTCGGTTGCGTATTCCTTTATTACCAAAAACAAATAAATATTAATATTCATATACAATATTTTTACTCATTATAAAATATTAAAAAGGGTGGGGACATGTACGTACTTTTTTTTTTTTTTTTTTTTTTTTAAATCTTGTCTTCAACATCTTATTACTTTTCAAAAAAACTACGAAACATTTCTAACAGAGCTTATAACTTCTTAAATATCTTATTAGCTCTATTTAACAGCTTATAAGCTTATGCAAACACCCTCTAAATGCCTCTAAATGCAGAGTTGAATCAGTCCAATTTGGAGACAAAGTGGGAAGAAATCGTGTTGTTCAGTTCATCTTATTTTCCAATCCAAAATAAGACTTCCCCTCGTCTTTGGTGGTCCTAGCTAACATATCTTTATTTATTTTATTTTATTTATTTTTATTTTTTTTATTTCTATGTCACGGCACTACTTACATAAGACTTTTCATAAAGTCGAGCTCGTCTGTTTTGAAAGGTTCGAGCTCGAACTCGTTTACCACCCCTAATTTGGGCTGTATATAATTTTTTGATTTTATATTGATAAATTATTTAATACTTGGAGGTCTAGCTAGAGATGATATATATATATATATATATATATATATATATATATATATATATATATATATATATATATATATATATATATATATATATATATATATATCCACGTTAAGTATGGCCAAATTACGAAAAAAACCCTCTTGTTTGGGTAATTACAACCATCTCTCTTCTTTTAAAAAATTTTTACATAAAATTTATGTAATTCGGTTATTTACCGAACCAAATCGTATATTCATTTCGGTAAACGGTATGAAATGTTGGCGTACCAAAATTTCGGTTCGATTTTACAGATTTGACATTCCTAAATTTACCTCTAGAAGGGTATTTTCGTAAAATAATACATAGTTGAGGGGGTGGCAGTAATTACCCAAACATGAGGGTATTTTTCGTAATTTGACCATAACTCAGGGGTAGCCGTAATATGCCCCATATATATATATTGCACATTTGCCCCCAATAAAGAACTTAGATAATAAAAAGTACTTGCCTCTATAATGGTTCAATTGAGAAGGAAAAATATCAAATTGACTGTAAGTTTGATGCTTCATCTCTTCCTGGAGCTACTCAAAAGTCACTATTTAGGTGCCATGTTTGGGGTAACCTCAAAAAATGTCAATAATTTAAATCGGAGAAACAAGAAAAAAAAAAACAATAATAGCAATAATTTATGATGGGAATTTAAATCGGAAATATAAGTCTATAACACTCTATTTATGAAAAAAAATACATTCTCTATAAATTTTCTATTACAGCTTGCAATTAATTAGTCAAATGTATAAAATAAAACAAGAAAATAAAAGGAATGCAAAAGTAATTTGATCACTAGAATAAGAACAAAAATAAATTAAACTTTTTTTTTTTTGAGAACAAAAATAAATTAAACTACTTATATGGAAAAAGATAATTTCGTAGAAGTGTAGTCATTATAAGTATAGTTTGATAAAAGGAGTTTATAAACTGCTAAAAGAATATAAGATTAATAATACTTTTGTTTATGCTCATATCTTGTTAATCTTTTGAGGATAGATATTTAATATAATTTCTAATTATAATCTTTAGGAAATTTAATTTTTTTTAACAAACCCCTGAAAACTCACTCTTTAGGGAATTTATGTGCTAAAAATTAAGGCTAAAGTACAAAAAACCCCTGAACTAAGGTCTAATTACCAAAACCCACCTCAGAAATTCATAATTAGCAAAACACTCTCTGACTAATCGTTGACCAGATTTCTTAAAAAGAAATTGTTGTGTCTTTAATGCCCCTAAGTTAAATAAAATTCAAAAATCATAAAATTCGGTGACATTTTGAAGACTTTCAATTGAATTTTGAAGGATATTTCAATATTTATATTAAAAAATATTGCAATTACCTCTATGAAGGAATAATATTATTACAATTACCTCTAAGGGTAAAATTGGAATTTTTGAAAAATATTCCTTGAAATTAGAAAGATTCCGTCGAAGTTCACAGTATAAGTGGACAATGTAAGGCGACAACAAAATTTCAGACCAATAGGAAAACAAAATAATAAATAGAAAAAATATGTATGCATTAAAATAGAAAAAATATGTATGCATTAATAAATAGAAAACAAAATAATAAATAGAAAAAATATGTATGCATTAGGAGAGTTGGTACCTAGCCTTTACCAATAGGGTAACGGTCTAGGGTTCGAGTCCCCCCCCCCCCCCCCCCCTCCTACTTCCCCTTGTAATGGACTTGAATTTACTCAAAAAAAAAAAAAAAAAAATAAAAAAAAAAATATGTATGCATTAATATTTCATATTTCATACCAATGGGAAAACAAAAACACAAACTATTATAAAGTTTATTTTCTTCATTATTATTAAAAAGGGAAAAAAATCCTTAAGTAGCACACTAATACATTATTCCGAACAAAAGAAACATTTTGTTACATTTATAGAGATAGATGACGTATTTTTTAATTCAATCAAATTAACCATGCCCAATAATATTTCAGACATTGTATAAAGCTCTAATTCCTTGAATATCATCTGCATGCAAATTCTTGGTCACACCAGCTCCAATTCCGGAATACATAATTGCAGCCTCGACCGAGCTATGCCCAAGCCCAAGAAGGTGCCCGATTTCATGCAGCGCCACCGTTTCCAAGTCGAAAGCATCTTGGACTGGCCCAACGGACCACCGTTCGTCCGCATCGTAATGGAATCTCCCATTGGTCGGAGCAAAAGCATGGGCTAGGGTTCCGCCACGTCCGTCGAACGGGAATCCATCCCCGTGATCCCCACGGTGAAATCCTATCACCAGATCGGCGGAATTCTGGGCCCGCGAAAAGGTGAAATGGGTGGAGGAGGCCCATTTTTGAAAGGCCCGAGAAACGGGGCCCACTGCTGGCGCGGGAGTGTTGGGCAAAAACCTGTAAGTTAGATGGGTTTTGGAAGGCGGCCATCTAGGATTTCCTTGAAAGAAAGAGTAGTGAGATACTGTATGGATATGTTTGCTGCTCGAGTTCGATTCGTGTTCTTTTGTCCCATGCTTCTGCATGGTGTTTTTACCGTCGATGATGTCGGGGACCCCGCATCGAGGGGTGGTCATTTTCGATACCGTTGTGGCATCTAATGTGCCTGTGGGGTTAATATGGTAGTTTCGCTGGTAGGTTTTGACGGCGGACTCTAGGGTTTCGTCGAAATCGTCGTTGTTGGCGTGAGTTTCATTTGGGTATTGAAGATAGCCAAATTGATGGAGGTAGTTTTTGAGGTGGTGGATATCTTTGCTTTTGTTGCCCTTGTGACAACCTTGTAGGGTTTTGATGAACTCAAAAGGTGATGGTTTTTTATCACTTGGTGTATCCCTCTTGGATTGGCCAATAGGAGAGAGGGAAATTAGGGCAAGAATGAAAATGAATGATAGGAGATTAAATTGTTTAAGTGCCATAATTAAGAATTAAGAAGTTATACTCAAGGAATTCAATAAGAAGTTTGTGTATAACATAATGCAATGTGGTATGTCTATTTATATATACATATTTGTATGTAGAAAAAAAGGAGAGGGGAAGGACACATAAATATTAGAGACGACTCATAGTAGAAGTTTGTATGAAGAAAGAATAAATCAACACAAGCTCTTGTCTTTAATTTGATGACTTGACTTTGACTTTGACTTGATCGCATCATATATAATTTTTTGAACACAAAGCCAAGTCCATGATATATAATTTACCTGAATATTTATGTTTTGTACGTACACGAATGATAAAGATTTACCTGGTGGAACGAAATAAGTTTATCTCTCGTAAGTGGTAACGATTATATTTCTCTATAAAATGGTTTCTTTTTATTTCAGTATTTATAATCTATTAAAATTAATTGATTGGAATATCATAATCATCTGATTGGTGGATACATTATTATTACTGAAAGTAGTGAATAAAGCAATTTACATCATTTTTTATTTATAAAATATACTTTATTTAACTGGCCTTCTATTCATTGTACTCACTAGAAATACACCTTGGCTGCATTTATATATATATATATATATATAAATGACTTGATGTGATTGTATAGTGCAATTTCTTAAGTCCATAGAAAGTTTACTCGGTTTAGCATTAGGAATGTGGAAATAAATTGTGTTATTTTCTTCATCCAATGAGAATTATCAAATAAGGCGTAATTGAGGGGTTTGGAATTTTAGGACATTATGTTGTGACTAATGACTTGGAAATTGGACAAATTGGAATTAAATTACCACATTCGAAGAAAAAAATATTACTTTCCATGTAGCAGGGACACGGAAAGAATGACTTGGAAATTGGGAGGAAATTGGATAAATTGGAATTAAATCACCACATTCGAAGAAAAAGAATATTTGTTACTTTCTATGTAGCACGGATACGGAACCACGGACATGGTGAAACAAGTAAATAGACTCGGGAAAACACGAGAACACCCTATTTTTCAAAAAAATGGATACGAGAATGTGGGTAAACATGTAAATATTAAAAATATAGGGGTACATCCATAATGTATGAAAAGATATTATAATGTTAACTTATATACATATCCTCAATTATAAATTTGTATCTACAAATTATATATAATTTATAAGTTCCAATCCATATTATTATTCGATAAATAATATACAAGGCATATAAATTTATTTTAGTGTTGAATTAAAGTCTGAAAAATATTAAAACACTACTAGAATTGAAAAGAAGACATAAAGTTTTTTTTTTTAAATAATCAAGTATAGGAAATTTCGAATCTTTATTCAAAAACGTGTTTTGGATTTTTTTTTTGGGCGTAACTGCTTTTCCATTTTTTTTATTATTACCATAAACATCACCGGAAATTTTAAACATTTATGGAAACGGCTCCGAAATGTTTCCGACATGTGATAGAGTTTCGATTTCCGAAACGTTCCCTGAAACGTGGAAACGCTATGTACCGAAGTTTCCGTGCATCATAGATTGCTTTGAATTCATGTACAAGTAGTAATTTTCTTGTAAAAAATATTATAGATTCTAAGAAACAACTTATAAAATGACTAAAATATTCTTCTCACTAATTATTTCGTTAATTATATACTTAACATATTAATAGTAGTAATAACAAAATTGAGAAAAGTGTAATATTATTTCACCATAATTGGAATGAGTATTATTTAGTATCTACTATCTACCCAAAAAAAAAGGTTAGTTCTAATTTTATTGGACCGAATATTCCTCAAATTTTCAAGGGTAGTTTGGTCTTTCTGGTAACGATGGTGATTAATTTGCTAATATGTATTACTATTAGTTTGCATGTATCCATTTATCTGGAAAATTCATTTTGGCGGTCACCGGAGCCGAATTTAGTGAAAGATCAGCTGTGAGCCGCCGCCGAATTAGTACCAACGATCCAATTCGTTAGATCCGATATACCTAATCCAAATTCCACCGCCGTCCTCGTTTCTTCTTCAATCTCGCAAATTTCCTCTTCTTATGGAATAATATCATTACAGTTACCTTTAAGGGTAAAATTGGTACTTTCGACAAATATTTCCGTCGAAATTAACAGTTTAAGTGGACAATGTAAGGCGACAACAAATTTCAGACCAATGGGAAAACAAAATAATAAATACAAAAATATGTATATATTAATGTTTCAGAACAATGGGAAAACAAATACACAAATTATTATAAAGTTTATTTTATTCATTAATATTAGAAAGGTAAAAAAAAAATCCTTAAGTAGCACACTAATACATTATTCCGAACAAAAGAAACATTTTGTTACATTTATAGAGATAGATGACGTGTCTTTTAATTCAATCAAACCATACGCAATAATATTTCAGATATTATATAAAGCTCTAATTCCTTGAATATCATCTGCATGCAAGCCCTTTGTCACTCCGGCCCCAATTCCGGAGTACATAATGGCAGCCTCGACCGAGCTATGACCAAGCCCAAGAAGGTGCCCAATTTCATGTAGCGCCACCGTTTCCAAGTCGAAAGCATCTTGGACAGGCCCAACGGACCACTGCTCGTCCGCATCGTAATGGAATCTCCCATTGGTCGGAGCAAAAGCATGGGCTAGGGTTCCGCCGCGTCCGTCGAACGGGTTTCCGTCCCCGTGGTCCCCACGGTGAAACCCTATCACCAGATCTGCGGAACTCTGGGCCAGCGAAAAGGTGAAATGGGTGGAGGAGGCCCATTTTTGAAAGGCCCGAGAAACGGGACCCACTGCCGCCCCGGGGGTGTTTGGCAAAAACCTATAAGTTAGATGGGTTTTGGAAGGCGGCCATCTAGGGTTTCCTTGAAAGAAAGAGTAGTGAGATACCGTATGGATATGTTTGCTGCTCGAGTTCGATTCGTGTTCTTTTGTCCCATGCTTCTGCATGGTGTTTTTACCGTCGATGATGTCAGGGACCCCGCATCGTGGGGTGGTCATTTTCGATACCGTTGTGGCATCTAATGTGCCCGTGGGGTTAATATGGTAGTTTCGCTGGTAGGTTTTGACGGCGGACTCTAGGGTTTCGTCGAAATCATCGTTGTTGGCGTGGGTTTCATTTGGGTATTGGAGATAGCCAAATTGATGGAGATAGTTTTTGAGGTGGTGGATATCTTTGGTTTTGTTGCCCTTGTGACAACCTTGTAGGGTTTTGATGAACTCAAAAGGTGATGGTTTTTTATCACTTGGTGTATCACTCTTGGATTGGCCAATAGGAGAGAGGGAAATTAGGGCAAGAATGAAAATGAATGATAGGAGATTAAATTGTTTAAGTGCCATAACTATGTATCAAGAAGTTATACTAAGAATTGGATAAGAAGTTTGTGTATAGCATAATGCAATGTGGTATGTCTATTTATATATACACATTTGTATGTAGAAAAAAAGGAGAGGGGAAGGACACATAAATATTAGAGACGACTCATAGTAGAAGTTTGTATGAAGAAAGAATAAATCAACACAAGCTCTTGTCTTCAATTTGATGACTTGACTTTGACTTGATCGCATCATGTATAATTTTTTAGGCCAAGTCCATGATAATTTACTTGGATATTTATGTTTTGTATGTACATACATACATGAATGATGAAGATTTACCTGTTGGAACAAAGTAAGTTTATCTCTCGTAAATCGTAACGATTATATTTCTCTATAAAATGGTTCTTTTCTATTTGATGATGCTATAAATAGACCGCCTTAAGTAGTTGAGGTAGAAGGAGTTGGGAGAGCAAAGTGGATCACTGCTCACGTGCTAGATGGTCCTGAGATACCCGCGAACAAAGAGCACGCGAACGAGGCCGTGGGTTGATCCGGCGAAAATCCCTTTGACGCTCAAGTCAGACGTGTGGATAGTAGAAATAGTTAAGAGGATACGAATTGGAGAATTGTTCAGATAATAGAACGTACCTTTAATAAAATGGTTAAATCGTTATTTATAACTTGTCGATTGGGCCGAAGTTAATTTGTTGTGCTCAAACCTTATTTGCAGGTCATTGGGCTCTCCTAATACTGTTCTTCTAAATCGGGCTCGTGGCCCAATAAATAGAGAAATTGTATGGTTATTGGACTGACCAATTAGACATATCATATTTTAGTATTTATAATCTATAAAATTAATTGATTGGAATATCATAATCATCTTATTGGTGGATACATTATTATTAATGAAAGTAGTTGAATAAAGCAATTTACATCATTTTTTATTTATAAAATATATTTTATTTAATTGTCCTTCTATTTATTATACTCACTAGAAATACACCTTGGCTGCATTTATATATATATATATATATATATATATATATATATATATATATATATATATATATATATATATATATATAAATGACTTGATGTGAGTGTATAGTGCAATTTCTTGAATAGAAGATTAAGAGGGTGTTTGGCTAAGCTTATAAGATGTTAAAAGGAGCTTATAAGATGTTTTAGAGCTTATAAGCTCTTCTAAAGTGTTTGGTAAATTTTTAAAAAAGATCTTAATTTTTTTAAAAATAAGCTGTGGGAGACCAAATAAAATCTTTTTAAATAAGTACCTCTACCCCACCTTTTCATTTAAGATCTTATAATGAGTAAAAATAGGAAATAAGCTCATTATCCAAACACTATAAAAATTAATCCTAAAAATAAGACATAACAACTTATCAGCTCTAAAAACATCTTATCAGATGTAAGAGCTTATCAGCTGTTTAAAATAAGCTTAGCCAAACACCCTCTAAGTCCATAGAAAGTTTACTCGGTTTCTATTTGAATTAGGAATGTGGAAATAAATTGTGTTATTTTTCTTCATCCAATGAGAATTTTCAAGTAAGGCGTAATTGAGGGGTTTGGAATTTTTAGGACACTATGTTGTGACCAATGACTTGGAAATTGGGAGGAAATTGGACGAATTGGAATTAAATTACCACATTCGAAAAAAATAATTATTTGTTGTTTTTTATGTAGCACGGACACGGGAACTCGGACATGGTGAAACAGGTAAATAGACTCAGGAAAACACGAGAAAACCCTATTTTTCAAAAAAATGGATACGAAAATGTGGGGAAACATGTAAATATTAAAAATATAGGGGTACATCCATAATGTATGGAAAAATATTATAATGTTAACTTATATACTTATCATCAATTATATATAATTTACAAGTTCCAATCCATATTATTATTCGGTAAATAATATACAAGGCATATAAATTTATTTTAGTGTGGAATTAAAGTCTGAAAAATATTAAAACACTACTAGAATTGAAAAGGGGACATAAATTTTTTTTAATAAAAAAAATAAGTATAGGCAATTTCGACTCTTTATTTAAAACGTGTTTTGGATTTTTTTTTTGGGCGTAACTGCTTTTCCATTTTTTTATTATTACCAGAAACATCCCCGAAAATTTTAAACATTTATGGAAACGGCCCCGAAACATTTCCGACATGTGTTATAGAGTTTCGATTTCCGAAACGTTTCCTGAAATGTGGAAACGCTATGTAACGAAGTTTCCGTGCATCATAGATTGCTTTGAATTCATGTACAAGTAGTAATTTTCTTGTAAAAAAATATCATAGATTCTAAGATATAAAAAACTTATAAAATGACTAAAATATTCCTCTCACTAATTATTTCATTAATTATATACTTAACAAATTAATAGTAGTAATAATAAAATTGAGAAAAGTGTATTATTTCACCATAATTGGAATGAGTATTATTTACTATCTACCCCCAAAAAAAAGGTTAGTTCTAATTTTATGGACCAAATATTCCCCAATATTTCAAGGGTAGTTTGGTCTTTCTGGTAACGAGGGTGATTAATTTGCTAATATGTATTACTAATATACTATTAGTTTGCATAATATCCATTTATAAGGAAAATTCATTTTGGCGGTCACCGGCGCCGAATTTAATGACAAATCAGCTGTGAGCCGCCGCCGCCGCCGCCGAATCAGAAACCCACGATCCAATTTGTTAGATCCGATATAATCCGGATTCTACCGCCGTTCTCGTTTCTTCTTCAATCTCGCAAATTTCCTCTTCTTATGGAATAATATTATTACAATTACCTCTAACGGTCAAAATGGTATTTTCGACAAATATTTCCGTCGAAATTCTAATTAGTATAAGTGGATAATGTAAGGCGACAACATATTTTAGGCCAATGGGAAAACAAAATAATAAATACAAAAATATCTATGTATATTAATATTTCAGACCAATGGGAAAAACAAAACACAAATTATTATAAAGTTTATTTTATTCATTATTATTAGAAAGGTTAAAAAGAAAATCATTAAGTAGCACTCTAGTACATTATTCCGAACAAAAGAAACATTTTGTTACATTTATATATATAGAGATAGATGACGTATCTTTTAATTCAATAACAATATTTCAGACATTATATAAAGATTTAATTCCTTGAATATCATCTGGATGCAAGTTCTTGGTCACTCCGGCGCCAATTCCGGAATACATGATTGCAGCCTCGACTGCGCTATGCCCAAGCCCAAGAAGGTGCCCGATTTCATGCAGCGCCACCGTTTCCAAGTCGAAAGCATCTTGGACTGGACCAACGGACCACAACTCGTCCGCATCGTAATGGAATCTCCCATTGGTCGGAGCAAAAGCATGGGCTAGGGTTCCGCCACGTCCGTCGAACGGGTTTCCGTCCCCGTGATCCCCACTGTGAAACCCTATCACCAGATCGGCAGAGCTCTGGGCCAGCGAAAAAGTGAAATGGGTGGAGGAGGCCCATTTCTGAAAGGCCCGAGAAACGGGGCCCACTGCCGCCGCGGGGGTGTTGGCCGAAAACATGTAAGTTAGATGGGTTTTGGAACGCGGCCATCTAGGGTTTCCTGGAAGGAAAGAGTAGTGAGATACTGTATGGATATGTTTGCTGCTCGAGTTCGATTCGTGTTCTTTTGTCCCATGCTTCTGCATGGTGTTTTTACCGTTGATGATGTCGGGGACCCCGCATCGAGGGGTGGTCATTTTCGACACCGTTGTGGCATCTAATGTGCCCGTGGGGTTAATATTGTAGTTTCGCTGGTAGGTTTTGACAGCGGACTCTAGGGCTTCGTCGAAATCGTCGTTGTTGGCATGGGTTTGATTTGGGTATTGGAGATAGCCAAATTTATGGAGGTATTTTTTGAGATTGTGGATTTCTTTGGTTTTGTTGCCCTTGTGACAACCTTGTACGGTTTTGATGAATTCAAATGGTGATGGTTTTTTGTCACTTGGTGTATTCCTCTTGGCTTGGCCAATAGGAGAAAGGGAAATTAGGGCAAGAATGAAGATGAATGATAGGAGATTAAATTGTTTAAGTGCCATAATTAGGTATCAAGAAGTTATACTCAAAGAATTGAATAAGAAGTTTGTGTATAACATATTGCTATGTAGTATGTGTATTTATATATACACATTTGTATGTGGAAAAATGATACATAAATATTGGAAACGACTCATAGTTGAAAGAATGATTCAACACAAGCTTTTGTCTTGAATTTGATGACTTGTCTTTGAGTTGACCAGAAGGCCAAGTCCATGATAATTTACATCATGTTTTATCTATAAAAATATTATTTATTTAACCGGCCTTTTATTATAGTCACTAGAATATATTGCCTTGCATTTAGAAGACCAAGTCCATATGTAGAAACTTTCCACATTAGGAATGTGGAAATAAATTGTGTTTATTTTCCTCGAATTATGGAAGAATGCGTAATTGACGGGCTTGGAATTTTTAGGAAACTATATTGTGACCAATGACTTGGAAATTGGGAAGAAATTAAACAAATTGGAATTAAATTACAATATTGTTTTCTTTTGGAAATTGGAAAATTGTGTAATTGGTTCAATATTCCAAGTAAAATATAAATAACTATTTGATAACAATAAATAAGTAGTATTTAAATGCAAACAACTCTCATGTCCTATGCAATCAAAAGCATAGTATAACGGCAGTCTGCCAATGATTGTTATGTCGAATTTGTAACACACATGATTAGTCTAATGTGGTTACTTCTTTTGTATGCATAGTTTGTAAGTTATTATACGAGACTATAGGTTTATCCAGTGCACCTATATAATTAGTTGTAGGTTCTTTCCTTATTAAAAAAAAAAAGTAAAATGACAGTGTACTCACTTTCAAATTTACATTAACAAAATAACGATTTTGTAGATATATACCGCACTCGATGAAATACATCGGGTGATTTGACGCCATTGATCTATATATAATAACACATACGCACCTATGTGTATGTGTGGCTTAGTGGATGATTATTTATATAGATCTATGATCTAAAATCGCCTGATATATTTCACCAAGTATAACATTTTATATATAAAAAACGACTGTTGTTACCCAGTAATTTTATGTGGGGGTTATTCATATAAATTAGGGTATTAATCTTTTTAACAAAATATTAGGATTCGAGTAAAAAAAATTATAAAATGAATAAAATATTCGTCTTACTAATTTTTCACCATTAATTATCTACTTAGCAAATTAATAGTAATAATAACAAACTAAAATAATCATTTTTTTCCAAAACGATAAATAATTTGGCAAAATGATTATGTATTTACCAAAAAAAAGTTAGTTCTATTTTGATTGGACCGAATATTCCTCAATATTTCAGGGGTAGTTTGGTCTTTCTGGTAACGAGGGTGATTAATTTGCTAATATGTATTAGTTTGGTCTTCCTGGAAAATTCATTTTGGCGGTCACCGGCGCCGAATTTAATGGCAGATCTGCTGTGAGCCGCCGCGAAATCAGTACCGACGATCCAATTCATTAGATCCGATATACCAAATCCAGATTCCACCGCCGTTCTCGTTTCTTCTTCAATCTCGAAAATTTCCGACGGCGAAAAAGAGTCAACCATGGGATTGTTCACCTACACAGTAGCCGGCGGCGCTCTAATTCTACTCGGCGCGTGGGAATCGGTCATCTCCGCCTCCGAATCCCTCAAACAAACCCCACCGCCGCCACACTCGCCGCAAAATAGTAAGAAATCCACGCCGCCGGGAACATCCTCGTTTTCGTCGACGGTGACGTTTCTGCTGATCTCCGTTCTGTCAATCCTCTTCATCGTGAACTCCTTCATCTCTTTATCCGACGCCGTCGCCTCCGACGATGACGTCGGTTTCGCCCTACAGCTGGAGGTAATCGCAATCGGCTTCCTTTTCCTACTATATTCTCTCCTGGGCATTTTGTCGAACACCATACACTCATTCCGATTTCCGACAAAGGTACTCAATTTAATCTACGCTTTCGCTTTCGTCGAGGAATTCCTGCTGTTCTACACGAAGAACAAAGATCCGAGTGGAATCGAGAATCATTACTATGATCTCATCTTAGTCCCAATCCTTATATGCCTCTTCTCCACTGTTCTTGAACTAAAGAGCTCGAAATCGACTTATCCAAAATTAGGGCGTGGCATTGGGTTAATTTTACAGGGTATGTGGACTCTGCAAATGGGGGTTTCGTTTTACTCGAACTTGATATCCAGCGGGTGTTCGTTGCACGAACGAAGCAGGGGAAATTACACTATCAAGTGCAAAGGACATCCCGAATACCACCGTGGCCGCGCAATTGCTACATTGCAATTTAACTGTCATTTGGCTCTTCTGGTTACTTTTGCTGTCGGGGTATTTTCGATATTCTGCAAGACTTACGGGGTTAGTCGAGACTTTATGCGGTATAAGCCTATTGGAGCTGTAGATATGCAGTTGGATAACTATGCTCGGTTCACTTTGGTTAGTGACGACGAGGATGAAGAAGATGGGATTAAGGAAATGAGGAGCGTGGAAATGCAGAAGGCTAATCCGGTGGGTCCCGCATCCACGGTGAATGGTAATGGTTCTTCTCATTCTTGATCTTGAGGTACATTAGTCGGAATTTCTGTAGTGAAGATCTTGGCTTTATTCTTTTGTTATGTAGATGATGTTGTATAACTTGCTTATGTTTGGTGCAACTTTTGACGGCCCGTGTGAGTTTTGAAAAGTTTACTTACATTTTCGATATGGCATTGATCTGATTTTTTTTCGGTCGTGTTTGGTTGAGTTTGAAAGTTACGCGATAACTTGGTGTATTGCTTGATTTTCGGCACGTGATTTCATAGTTCCGTACTGGCTAATGAACTCAATTATGATCACTATGCATTATGCAATGTACTGCAAGCTCGTAAACCAACCTTTTGCATGGCTGCGCATTACCTTTTCGAAGCCAAGGAAAACGAAGAATGTTATTCACTATAATTACGGGCGTGGGGGATTTAGTATACATTGATGTCGTTTTCTTTTATATGGTGAAGGCAATATTCTAGAGGTAATTGTTGTGAAACTATTTTTACCATTCATATACCCACACACCCACACACCCACATTGGTGTGTGTAGATCAACGGTAAAAAATCACCCGGTGTCGTCTTCACCTGACATCAGAAATAACGATGAATAGAGATGTTGATCAGAGCAAGGTCTCTCTTAACTATAGTATGATTTTTTTTTTTCTTTGATAGAGCAAATTTAAATGAAGCATCTATAGGTTGTGATCATGAATTAGGGAGAGTACACTTTTAACTTTTAAGAGATTATTTTTTATAATTAAAAATATCTATATTGTTAACAATTAATAATATTTAATAAATGTTTAACAAATATTTAAAAAATAAAAATAAAAAATTGATGCAACTTTAGTAAATATTTATTTTGGATGAGTGATTCAGTTATTTTAAGTTGAAGGCGTGTGTTAGGACCCAATGGGCCTAAGACCTTTATCTCACGTTGTCCAATGAGTTCAAGGCCTTTCTCTAAAATTGAATTTGTACATTTTTTTTCTTCATTTAACAATATCGGTGAGATTGATTAAATTGAGTATCAAAATACATTAGCATGCAATATGTAAAACATTGCTTTAAATACAACATACGATGAGATTGAGATGTTAAAACACTGTTTAATCTTCTTCTTCTCCTTTTCGACCCAGTGAGGAAGAAAGGGGTTTTAGTTTCTGGATTGGGTTGAGTGCCTTACACTAATTGGAGTTGTCGTCAACTTTGAGAGTAAGAGGACTGAGCCTAGCTGGAAAAACGGTTCTATATTAGATAGTTAATTATTCCTAAGTAAGGCGTTAAATATATGATATTATTAAAATAAAAAATAATAAATCAATTCAATAAAATATATACAATTTTCGAAGAAATTGAAGATTCCAATTTGCTAGCCTCGGTAGCTAGGGTTCCGATTAATTTTAAAATTTAAACATAGACTAAATTACGCCCACTCCTTGAAGTAAGATCAAATTACAACTGACATTCTCAATTATGAATCTTTTACACGTTCATTCGTGCAGTATCAAATTTAGTGGAGTTCTCTAAATTATATGATTATAAATAGTGCATTTGAAATTAAATTTTCGCACAAAACGAAGACAAACCAAAGAACATTCCTCATAATTCAGAAGATTCGATTGAATTTGACACAATAATAATAAATAAACGTGTAAGAAAATTCATAGTTGATGAGCTGTAATTATAAAAAAATGAGAGATCGTAATTTAACATTAACTCAGAGGCCGGTGGTAATTTACCCTTTGAACATATTACCTAATTTTTAGATAAAATATTGGGGCCCAACTCCAAGCCCGACCACGTTTATGTTTAGTGAACGAGTGGTGCTCACCAACTTGAAATTATTATACACCTAAATCTATTTTCTATTTCCCAGAAAAAGAAACAAAATAGAAAACTACAATTCCCAAAAATTAAATAAATAAAATAAAATAATTTCCGCCATGAGAGCTCTCCAAGCTTCCACATCTTACAGCATCAGCAGCTTCGGCATTTCATCCGCCGCTCCGTCGCCGCCCTCGCGCCGCCGCCACGTCGTCTTCTCCAAAGGTAAATCTCGTGCCCAAACTAAATTCGCTGATTTTTTTTTCATTAATTGTTAGAACTGAGAAAAGCAAATATGCGGAATTGATTTTGCGCAAATTTCAGCTGAACCAACGGAGAAATCGGTTGAAATAATGAGGAAGTTTTCCGAGCAGTATGCCCGGAGGTCCGATACCTATTTCTGTGTCGATAAAGGTGTCACATCTGTTGTTATCAAGGTATCATTCAATCTCTCTCTCTCTCTCTCTCTAATTTTTAATTTTTATTGTTGAAACATAATTCCGAAACTAAGAATTAAGTTTCAGTTGCATTTTCTAAATTTGCAGGATTTTTTATTTTTTTATTTGCATCATATTCTTCAATTTAGTGTCCTGTTAGGTCATGATAAATGTCTTAACCCAATAATTAAACCCTATCTAGGTCTTAATTTGGGTGGAAATGATAAAATGTCTATTCAAATCCTCTGAAATTCCCCAACACTTAACTGTATTACTCCTAACAAGTGTGTTTTTAATTTTTATTGCTACTTCAAAGAAACTCGAAAAAATTTGGACCAATAGTTAATTTTGCTACGAAATGATTTACGAAGGAATTTGGTGATTATTAGTTACAACTTACAACTATTGTTTGAATGTTTATTCGGTCACGCTTATGTTTGCAGGGATTAGCGGAACACAAGGATACGTTGGGTGCACCCCTCTGCCCTTGTAGGTAATAAATCATTACAAGTGTTTTTTTCTTCCTCATTTCACTTTTATTCGAAATGTCGAATTTTCTATAATTTTGATCTTGCAAAATGTGTATCTATACTACTTCGATTTCAGGCACTACGACGATAAAGCTGCTGAGGCACAACAGGGCTTTTGGAATTGTCCCTGTGTTCCTATGAGAGAAAGGTATAAAATCGCATTTCCATTTCGAATTTATAAATTGTGTGGATATAATTAGTTTTAAATTACTCTGTTGGTACTGTTTCTTGAATTAATATGTTGTGTAACTTGTTATATGTGATATTGATATAAAAATACAATAGAGGGGAGGGAATCTTTTAATTGAGTTGTTCGATTTTTTTGCAGAGCCTTATTCATACTCGTTGAAGTATCTCTCGATTATCTTATACATGCTATTTTGATTATTTCGTTTGCAGGAAAGAGTGCCACTGCATGCTTTTTCTAACACCTGAGAACGATTTTGCTGGCCAGGACCAGGTAATAATTTTTCTGTGATGTTTTCTCATATTCGATTTAAATGTCTGAAAACTGTCTATTTCTTGAAAGCTCTTGTTGCACTTTCGGCTTGCTTATAGTATTGAAAGATTCTTTGTTTTCTTTGTTCGATTCGATTAAAATTAAGCTCTATAATGTGTCTCCTTCTTGGTGTAAAATATGTCGGAGCTCCTAATTTTTCTTTATTTTGTTCTTAATGTGAGTACCTTGTGATATGCAGACCATTACGTTGGAAGAGATTAGAGAAACCACGTCGAATATGTGATGGATTTTGCCTCTAAGTGAAACAACAACCAATGTACGTAAATCTGTATTACTGTCGAGACCAATGTACGTAAATCTGTATTACTGTCGAGAAAAAAATATATTGTAACTTTTGTTGTTACAGATACCATTAATCAATTAATTTTCCCTTGCATTTATCTGATACAATAATGTTTGTCTTTAGTTTTTCGAAATGTGGTTCTTGTTTGATACAGTCTCACTTCACTTCATACTTCATACAACATTTTCACCCGTAGACAGTGTTCTGAAAATCGGTCGAGGCGGTCGATTAACCGGTCTCCGAGGCGGAGGCGGTCCAAAACCTTTACGATTTTAGTGTAAAGGTTTGAAAAATCGTTTTTTGCCTGTGAGGCGGTCAAACCTTTAAGACGGGTCAAATTCGGTGGCAAAAATCGGCAAAAAAAATCTGTCAAAAATAGGTTTTTCTTTTTTTGGTAATTCAAAATAAAAATGGGATTTTATTAAAAAAAAATATGATTTTATGTTTTATTTTATTCATGTTAATTGTTATTGTTAAAGAACTAATGATGTATATCAGGAATGTTAAAAAATAAATGTCAATTAAAAATAATTGTCTTTTTATTTATATTTTATAA